TCCCTAGAAACAAATGAGTTTAAGATTCCTCTGTTTATTCCAAAATATTTTTCTGCCCAACCTCATAACCACCACAAATAATCCACCTATTCACCTTACCACAGAGGTAGAGGAAAGCATCAGAGACCCAAGAAAATAAGCCAAATACATAAAAGATGAGTGATCAGGGCAAGTTCAAAGAAAAGTTAGGAAAGCGCAAACAAATAATTTGTTCTTGATGTCATCCAACAGCTCCTTGTCAATGCACCATCTTGCCATTTTCAGTCTCTTATTTTGTTTAAAGACTAACTCTTCACAATTTGTGAATTTCATTCAAAATTTAAATTCTGCATGCCCTTTTACCCAGCAACTTAACTTTTAGAAAATCACCCAAGTAGAATATGCACGTAGGGATAAAAATACATAAATGTGAACGTTCCCTTAGGAGGCATTCTGTTGCAAGGAACAGAATATCCAACTCATGTTGTCCTAAAAAAAAAAATGATCAAATGGAACCTAAGGTGTAGGGAGGGCTCCAAGGATGGTTCAATTCAGCAATTGAAACCCTTCATTACTGTCAGCTGTAGCCTAAGGATACAACTTTGTGATAACAAAATGGTTCTCAGAACTATACCCTCCCTCATCTGTGTCTAGGGAGAGAGATAAACAAAGTATTTTCAGAATATTTGAAAGCATATCTTCCAAAAGACCCTGGAAGACATCTTACATTGTCTTCTTCACTACATGTGGTCACTTATACACCCCTAAACCATTAATTAAATGGGATTACGCTTATTAGTTTGTAATTAACTTACATGGCATACCATTAGAATGAGGGGTGGACTTTTCAATCTACAATAAACATGACCTACTTGATGTATGTTTGGTTAGCTGAATTAAGGTAAGAGTAGCTGTCAAAAGGAGGAATTGATGTTAAAAAGACAAGCACAACCTCCACTATAGAAATCAAGTATATTTATTGATACATTGTCTATATAATCTGGAAAAATCAGAAACAACTTGAATAACTATTAATGGAGAATTGATTAAGTAAATATGTATATACTTTAATGGAAACAATGTAACTACTCTATCCATTTACCTAATCACTTGCTCAACAAATACTTGTTGAAGGCCT